GAAGCAGACGCAACAGCAACAACTGACGCAGACGCAGCAGCAGATGCAGCAGCAACAACTGAAGCAGCAGCAGCAGCAGATGCAGCAGCAACAACTGAAGCAGCAGCAGCAGCAACAACTGAAGCAGCAGCAGCAACAACTGAAGCAGCAGATACAACAGCAGCAACTGAAGCAGCAGCAGCAGATGGCCCAGGTACCTAACCTGCCGATTGGGTTGCAGCAGATGCAGAATCAGCCAGCTGTGCATATGGGACAAGCTTTGCAGTCTCAAGTTTTTTCGGCTGCAAAGCCAGTTCCACAGCCGTCCCTCATGCCAGGGCTCATGATGCCCGTTCCTCCGGGTCTCTCTCCCCTAATGCAGAACCTCATGAATTTCATTCATATACCGCAGCCCGCTTCCACAAAGCAGCTTCCAGCAAAGGTAGAAGTGACAGGGAATATCCCAGTGCTGGCCCAGATGCAAGACTACACTGCCGCTTCACCTAGGGTCTTTCCTCATACCTGCTCTCTATGTAACAAGGAATGTACTCTGATGAAGGTAAGTGGAAGATTGTTCGATGTTTTTGCTTTCTGTCGGTTTTTATTTATTTGACATGCAATGTTTTTTGTTTTTGATTTGATTTTGGATCCCATTATAGAATTGTGGTTTGGGAAAAACTTCATGTATGCTACTTTAAAGTCTATTTGGTTTGTTTTATACACTATTCCTGCATAATGATGACTGTAGGAAGACTACCAACTTGGAATACAAACATTTGGACAAATTTTCACATATTTCTGCAATTCAGTATTCTGTACCAGAATTTCTGAAGGATTACAGCGCAGACTAAACTTAACTATATGTCTATCAGATATTGTAATTGAAAAACACTACTAATAAGAGACCTTCAGAATCTTCAGTGGTCTGTACTTGCAATTGATAGATTTAATCTATTTTAAATTGACATAAACTGATGCGAAGACATTCAAGGCTTTTGCTAACAATGGAACCAAAGCCTCAGATGACGTGATGAGGAGAAACCTGCAAACCTGACGAGCCTGTGCATCAGAAAACGTTGGAAGACGGCTGTTTTTTCATTTGTCTCTGTTCTTGGGCTGCTGTTCCACAGTGCACATTCAGCTTTGCTTTTTCTGGAACTGTTGCTGAATGTGAAAGTTCCCCTTTTTGTCTTTTGTCATTAGAGTTAAGAATAGTGTGTTTTGTCCTTTATTTCACATTAGTAGGCACCTTGTTTTTGTGTAATACTCGCTTCTTCTTTTTTTTTTTTTTTTTTTTATTTTTTTTTTCTTTTTAAGTTAGT